GCAAGAATCCTGAAGTGGGTTGCCATTTCCTTCTCCAGGAAACCTTGGGAAAGGCAATGCACATATCCATGGGCTCAGAAAACACTTATAGGGACTTTCCTGGTGGTCCAGTGTTTAAGAATCCACGTTACAATGCAGGGAATGTGGGTTCAATCCCTGGTCAGGGAACTGGGGAATCCCACACGCCATGGAGCAACTAAGCCCAATTGCCACAACTACTGAGCCCTTGCACTCTGGAGCCCGCATGCTACAACTAAGGTCCAACGTAGCCAAATGCATACATACACACATTTTTTTTTTTAATGTATAGAACACATTGTATAGCCAGTATCAAGAGAGGCAACAGTGATTTTAAATTTTCACTCTTCCCAAACTTCTCATAGCCCAGGCCTCCCCCGTTAATGTACCTCCTCTTTTCTAGGGGAAAAAAAAAAAAAAGCAGACACCCTCAGAGAGGAATTCCCTCCATTCCGATTACTAAACATAAAACCCATTTATGCCCCGACACCATCCTCCTTTCCTTCTGATGCAGCAGACTAGCTGCCCAGCATCCCTGAGGCCAATCCTTGTGCTCAAGCTTTGCATATCATCCTCTTCCACCTTGACTTTTCTTCATATTCATTCTCTTTATCCCTTCCTTTCTCGTATACTTAACCTCTCTCTTGAATTGGATCATTCCCAACAGCATGAAAACATGCACCAGTCTTTCAGATTAAAAGGAGAAATGCCCTCAACCCCTCACCTCTATCCAGCTTTAAACCAATCACTCTCCTGCCATTCAAACTTCTCAAAAGCATTATCTCTACTGTGACAGAGATGGCTTCTTGCCCAAAAAATGTCATTCCCCTCTTCCAATTATAGAGAATTAGTGACTGCCCAGACAGAGACAGTATTTCCAGCCTCCCTTTCCTCTAGGTATGGTCATGGTATTAGTTCTACCAAGGAAATAAGAGCTAACATTGTGGGTAACTTCTGAGCAAAGGCTTTAAGAACTCTCTTTCTCCACACTGCTTTCTGCTTGACCAGTTGGATGCAGACAACAGCAGTCCTGAGGTTTCACTAGGGGATGATCCAACCGTAAAAAGGGAGGAGGCTGGTTCTCTGCATCATCTCATTAGAGAAAGCTACCCAGTGAGCAGGAACATTCAGAAACACAACTGTTAAAAGAGCAATACATTACCTTCTGTTTAGTGAAGGTGCTGACATTTCAATTTGTGTGTGTGTGTTGTAACAGCTCAGTTCAGTTCAGTTCAATGACTCAGTCGTGTCTGACTCTTTGCAACCCCATGAACCACAGCACACCAGGCCTCCCTGTCCATCACCAACTCCCAGAGTTCACCCAAACCCATGTCCATTGAGTCGGTGATGCTATCCAACTATCTCATCCTCTGTCATCCCCTTCTCCTCCTGCCCTCAATCTTTCCCAGCATCAGGGTCTTTTCAAATGAGTCAGCTCTTCACATCAGGTGGCCAAAGCACTGGAGTTTTAGCTTCAACATCAGTCCTTCCAATGAATATTCAGGACTGATTTCCTTTAGAATGGACTGGTTGGATCTCCTTGCAGTCCAAGGGACTCTCAAGAGTCTTCTCCAACACCACAGTTCAAAAGCATCAATTCTTCGGCACTCAGCTTTCTTTAAAGTCCAACTTTCACATCCATACTCGACCACTGGAGAAACCATAGCCTTGACTAGACGGACCTTTGTTGACAAAGTAATGTCTCTGCTTTTCAATATGCTATCTAGGTTGGTCATAACTTTCCTTCCAAGGAGTAAGCAAGGAGTTGCAACAGCTAGTAGTGTTTTAATCAATAAAGTCACCTATCACCCACCCCTCAGTCCACCGCAATCTAGTTTCCAATCTGCTCCTGCAAACAGATCTCGATAAACCACCAATGATTCCCAAGTTACTAAATTCAGTGGATATGTTTTTCTGTCTCCTTCACAGGCTAAGATCCTACTATGTAATCTCAGAACTCTGAACACTAGATTTCTGCTTCTACCCATGTTGAATTAACTGGAGTTGGACATGCCTGCTTATCATAAATAACTAGAAAATTGGAAATGTTACCTTTAAAACTAATTTCAGACTTTTGAAAATAGGCAACATAGAACTGAGTTCCCTGGAAACTTATTTCAAAATGTATGAAAATTCCAAAAGACCCAAAGGTTATTCAAAGGAATAACCAAAACAATTTTCAAAAATAAAAATACTTGGAAGACTTATACTACCTGAGTTCAAGACTTATTATAAAGCTCTATACTAGTCTAAATAGTGTGATTTATAATAACAATAAACATATAGAGACTATAGAAATAGACCCTTCCCCCATATATGGTCCATTAGTTTTTCACACTGATAGAAATATAATTGAATGGGGAGGGGATAGTTTTTTTCAACAATCATAGTGGAAAACTAAACATCCATATTCATTTTCATGAACCTCAACCCTCACCTCACACCATCCACAAACCTCAGCTCAACATGTCATAAACCTAAATGTGAAAGCTGATACTATAAAACTTCTCAAAAAATATCTTAGTCAATAAGGATTTATCAAAATTACAAATTTCAGTTCTTAGGTGGACACTATTAAAAATAAAAAATTAACACAAGCCACAGAAAGGCAGAAAAACATAAATACACATGACACGCAGAATATATAGAAAACTCCTATAAAACAATAATAAAAAAGACAAAAACATCAATGAAATAATTGAATGATTGATCAGACACTTAATAAAAGGCAAAATTATTAGTCTTCAGAGCAACACAAATTAAAACCACTAAACTATATCACCACATACACCACAAAGAAAGGCTACAATTCAGAAGATTGACAATAGCTAGTATTGGCAAGAATATGTAGCAGCTGGAAAACTCATATATTACTGGTGGAGTGAAAAATGACACAACCATTTCTGCAAATTTTTGGCAGCCTCTTGTAAAGTTTATATTTCTAAAGTATCCAGAAAGTTCAGTCCCAGGTATTCACCCAAGATAAATAAAAACATATGCTCACACAAAGACTTGCACATGAATATTCATAGTAGCTTTTTATATAATAGAAAAACCTGGAAAAAATGCAAATGTTTATCAACAGGTGAATGGTTTACTCAGTCTGTGGCATAGCCACATGATGAAATTCTAGCAATAAAAAGAATGAACTTCTGATCCTTGCAATAGTGTGGATGGAACTAAAAAAATTTGGTAAGTGGAAAAAAAATTGACAAAAGAATACACGCTGCATGATTCCATTTGTATGAATTCTAGAATTAGCAAAACTAGTGTTTAGTAACAGATCGGTGGTTACCTGGAGCTAGCATGGGGAAAGGACATTGGCTGACTCCAAATGGAGACAAAGATTCATCTATTTTTTGCTTAGAATTTGTCTATTACATTTGACACATTATAGACCCTCAATAAATATTTTTAGATGAAAAATGAATGCTCCATCTGTATGTGTGTTACATCATACCTGTTCAAGGCACGGTCCTAATTGTGCCATACGACCCTTCCCCTTCCCCTCCATCATTCTCTCACTGTCTTTATTCACATCTCTCTTGCTTCCTTCTCTCTTCGCTGTTTCCCACAAGCAGCACTGGACCCAAGGAAGGAATTGAGCATCCACATGCCTATGTGGAGGACTTTTCATCTCATGGGAGGGAAAAGTAAGATGAAAAGAGACCAGATCTATGAATGCACTTAGAGCAATCATACTAAGTGAAGTCAGTCAGACAGAGAAAAACATACATAACTTTTATATGGAATCTAAAAAAATGATACAAACTTAATTACAGCACAGAAACAGACTCACAGACATAGAAAACAAATTTATGCTTGCGAAAGGGGAAAAGGGGGCAAGTAATAACTTAGGAGTAAGGGATGAACAGAATAATAGCATATATAAAATAAACAACAAGGACCTGCTATACCAGGGAACTATACTCAATATCTTGCACTGTAATAATCTATAACAGAAAAGAAGCTGAAAAAAGAATGCTGATTAGATATACTATATATATATATATATATATATATATATATATATATATACACATGTAATTGAATCACTTGGCTGTACACCTGAAACATTGTAAGCCAACTATACTTCAATTTTTAAAATAAATAAATATTAAAAACGAAAGAGAAAAGGGACCAGATCTGAAAGACATAAAAGATAACCCAGAGGGTTGATAACAAGGATTCTCCTCCCCTCCCCCAGTCACCAGTTTTAGCAGAAATCAGTAGTGCAGAGGCTGTCCTGGTTAATTCTCTGTCTTACTAACTCATGCCAAGAAGGCCGCCACACAAAAGGCATTTGGTTCTATGCTCCAAATGCCTTTGGTTTTATGGAGCCAAAGCCCATTTTGGAGAATGCTGGTGGATGAGGAAGTGGCTCCAGCGAGGGGCGAGGGGGACAGGAGCCGTGCACCTGTTGCACATCTTCATAAGGGAGGACTTCTCCTTCCCAGCCCGGCGCGGGGAAAGGTGTTCACCCAACACCGATGGGGAAGCCCTGCCTCCCCACCCCTCAGCCCCCGCAGGCCTGTTCCATGAGGACCCCCAAACAGGCCCCTTAGCAGCCTGCAGGGCCATTTCCCAAGCGCCATCCTTCCTTCGTACAAACGCAGACACTTCCAAGCCGGACCCTCTGCAGACAGCAGTGCTTGGGTTCTTATCCATTTCCTCCATCCAGAAAGAAGAAAACATGGTGGAGGAGATAGCCTTGAATTCCTTCTCCTCCAAGCACCCCTTTGGAGGACAAGGACCAACCCCGGGGACCGAGGCCCGACCAGCAGAGGCTCGCCCTCCCCCACAAAGCAGGAGAGAGTGAGTCTAGGCGCCCGCAGAGCCATTTCCCTTTCCTTGGGTCGGTAAACATCCTGGCCATTTGGAAGCCTTATTTCCCCCTTTAGGACAATGTACTGGGGTTCGGGTTCTTTTCGCTTTGTTTATCCCGTAATCATTACGGCAAGAGGGATGCACCTGTGCTCCAGGCCCATTAGACAGCGAATGGCTTCTCTCCTGAGCAGAGCACGGAGGAAAGTGGCCTTGGCACCAGGATCACACCGCAGCCGCAGAGCAAGCGAGCAGGAGCGAGAAGACCAAGATGCAGCCCTGAGCCATGACTCGAGGCGGTTCGGGGGCAGAGAGAGGGAGGCGGGCGGTGCCCAGAACAGGCTGGGGCTTAGCGACCTCGGGAACAAGCCTGAAGTCACACAGCCCACAGGTCAGGAAGCTGGAGGTCGTCTGAGAAAAGCTGGTCTCTCTGGCTCCAAGCCCGCACTCCCCCACCCACCTTGTTCTGTTTTGGAGCCGCTGAGGACAGAGAAGTGGGGTTCTAAAAACCCCAAGGGCATCTGATTCTGGGGTGAAAAGCATGGGATCCCATGCCTGCGCCCCTGACATCTGAGACACCCCATGTCGGGGAGGGGTGCGGCTCGATGAGCTTGCAGCCCTTTGTTGGAGAGTCAGAGTCACAGCCGACACAGAAGCTGCTCCAGGGCCCCAGTGACTTCCTTTGTCAGCCTCCGCCTCTGGCGCAGGTGCGTGTACTTTAGCCAGAGGAACCCAGGCATGGAAATTGCTCTCCTTGTGCCCATATATTATCCCTATTTTTTAACATGTCGCTTTCCAAGCAGGTAATGCATTTGCAGAGACAGTGATCTTTCATCGGGAGATTACGATGATTTGTGTTCTCTGTCTAAATTCCAGCATAAATTTCCAAGCCAGCGAGGCACTGGCTTGTGGCAAGAGCGCGTCCTGAGATTCGGCGGGCTATCTGTGCAAACCTCAGGCTTGCAGCCATTTGTCCTGATTAGGGGACGCCTTTGAAATTCTTCCTGGTGCCTTGCCTTATTTCTTTCAGGTTGCTCCTCCGGCAGGTCACCTTTGTAGCTGGGTGCAAGACTTGAGTTATGTTTGCTCGGGCTGGACCCAAGCAAAGCATTTAAGCAATGCAACTTCCAGAATCCCTGGTAGTGCTGAAATTAGACTGGGGCTGGGGTCCCATCACATAAGCCTCCAGGCTTCAGTTTCCTCATCAGTCAATTAGGAACTGTCATCCTAACTTCTTGGAGTTAATCAGAGAATTAAATAAAAAAGATAAATGGGAATTCCTCCTGCTACAGTACTCAGACACCATAGGCAAAACCCACACAATCATTCCCAATCAACTCCTCAAATTACATGCACACCCTTTTTTGGACATGAGGGATCTTAGTTCCCCCACCAGGGATCAAACCCGCATCTCCTACATTGGAAGGCAAAGACTTAACCACTGGACTGCCAGGGAAGTCCCAGCCCAGTTCTCTTAATGGTTGCTCTGGAATTTACCAAAATGTCTCTAATAAGGTGAATGTTAAATCATCTTGCTGTGTATACTACTTTGCTTGAGCTGCCATAAAAAAGCACCATGGTCTGGGTGGCTTAAACAACAGAAATTTATTTTCTGACAATTCTGGAGGCTGGACATCCAAGACAAGGTATCATAAGGCTGTCTCTTCCCTGAGCCTGTAGACAGCCTATGCCTTCACAGGGTCTTCCTGCAGTGTGCGTCTGTATCCTAAACTCTTCTTTATAAGATGCACACACATTGGGTCAGTGTCTACCCTCAGAGCCTCGTTTTAACTTCCTCTTGAAAGACTCCGTCTCTAAATACAGTCACATTCTAAGGGTCTGGGAGTTAGGATTTCAACATTTAAATTTGAGAGAGATACAGCTCAGCCCATGACATTGTGTCATTAAAGCACAAATGCATGATGCGTATGTAACTTGAAGGCGATCTCAAAGCCAGACCAGGAGTGAAGAGGGTCCTCACTTCAAAATAATGCCTTCCTTCTGTCTCATAATGATGCTTTATTTTCAGCATCCTGTCTCCTTTATCACACATCCCTCAGTCATTGTTGTTGTTCAGTCTTCAATCGTGTCCAACTCTCTGCGACCCCGTGGACTGCAGCACGCCAGGCTTCCCTGTCCTTCACCATCTCCTGGAGTTTGCTCAAACTCATGTCCATTGAGTCGGTGATGCCATCCTATCATCTCGTCCTCAGGTGATGATGGGAAAATCAAGAGGGGAAAAAGATCAGAGGGACTGACTCAAGATCACATGGGTGGTAGCAATTGACAGAATTAGGTTTGGAGCCCTAAGTGTGGCCCTTGCCCCCACAATGGGTGAGTCTAGCCACCCTAGGAAGGTTTTTACCACCTCCAGGAGCACAGGCCAAAGAGGGCAGGTGTGTAAGTAACTTTGGGACAAGCCTGCAACGTGTGGCTCATGTCGCCTTTCCGGCTCCCTCTGCCTGCTCCCTGCATCTAGCATGGTGCTGGGCACAGGGGGCAGGGAATGTGGCCACCTGCTCACCTTGGAGGACAATCGTCCTGAACCAGGGAGCCTGCCCTGATGCTAGGATTAAACCTACCATTTCCCTACATCTGGATGGGAGTTTTGGCTTTCTTGTTTTAATAGAAGACCCTTTGTACCCAACCATGGATTGCAATAGGCCAGTAAATACCATCGTGGAGCTCAGGCAAACACAGCAAGAGGAGAACTCAGCTGGAGACATCACAGGCATACGAGGCAGAGCTGTGAAAGTTCACAGCCAACAGCGGCCCTCTTGACAGAGCCTTCAGAAAGAAATGTGCCAACAATGCACTGAAATATCTCCAGCTACCCTACCATTATCTCTGAAAATGATCCTGGTTTCAGGCCATCTGATCTGAGGGACTCTAGCCAGCTTTGCTTCCCATCTAAATATGTACATGTACACATATATGTACATATACATGTATGTGTATATATATATACGGTGGTTTAGTCGCTAAGTTGTGTCCAACTCATGCGACCCCGTGGACTATAGCCTGCCAGGCTCCCCTGTCCATGGGATTTTCCAGGCAAGAATATTGGAGTGGGTTGCCATTTCCTCCTCCAGGGGATCTTCCCGACCCAGGATCGAACCTGCACCTCCTGCATTGACAGGCAGACTCTTTATCACTGAGCCCACTTGGAAGCCCATATATATACACACACACATACACATGGGCTTCCCTCATAGCTCAGTCAGTAAAGAATCGGCCTGCAATGCAGGAGACCTGGGTTTGATTCCTGGGTTGGGAAGATCCCCTGGAGAAGGAAATGGCAACCCACTCCAGTATTCTTGCCTGGAGAATTCCATGGACAGCAGAGCCTGGCAGGCTACAGTCCATGGGGTCACAAGAGTCAGACATGATTTAGCAACCAAACAACAGACACAGTATTTGCTCTTCTCCCCAAATCCCCAGAGCTTTTTAATTCTCCAGAGTGAGTGACTGTTCTGGGGAAGACAAGTACCTCTATTTAATGGACTTCCTGCAGGTCAAGTGGAAAGCAGCCGGAATGAGGCGGGAGGCGATCCAGGTTCAAGACTGTTCCTGCCACTGGCTGGCTGTTTCCCAAGCCTCTTAATGTCACGCTGTCAGCTTCCTCGGAGAGGCTGAGAAGCCCCTGGTATGATTTTGTTTAGGCCTGGGCTTTAGGGTCAGACAGGCTTTGGTTCAAATCACTTACTAGATATGTGACTTTGACCCATCGCTTAGCATCTCTAAGCGGGTCTCCTCACTGTTTTTTGTTATGTTTTTTGTTTTAAGGAAGCTAAAAACGCCCACCTGCCAGGGTGCTGTGACAGGAAATAAGAGAGCACTTGTGACCGCACCTGTTGCCTCACCTAGGAAGAGGTTAGCCCTCTTCCCTCCTCGGCCGAGGGAGGAAGAACAGGAGGGAGCGTTGATCGTGACACAAAGCCAAGCCGGGGCTCCCACAACCACCACTTCTTTCTCCGTCCTGCCTTCTCTGAGGTCAGTAAAGTGTCCAAAGCCAGCTGCTCACAGCCCTGCAACCTCCAGGCAGCCAGAGATGCTGGGAAGCAAAGAAGCCGAAAGCAGGGCTGTGGCCAGGCAGGGGCGCGGTCTCGCCAGGGCGGGTTCTGGCAACACCAGTCACATCCCCTCTGCGCTGCGTGGACAGTCAGCCCAGCCCTCCCCGACCCTCACACGGTGGAAGCAGACTCCAAGTCTCTGAAAGCGATTCTGTCTTCTGAACGCTCTCTCGGGGCACATCAGCCTGGTTGGACGAGAGCCCCGTGCTGGGGAAGGAGTCTGGAGAGAGGGAGCAGAGGAAGGTCACTTGAACAGAGAAGGGCTCTGACTTCGGCTGCCATCGGTCCCAAAGCAGCAGTGGAGAAAGCTTTCCAAACAGTGGGGAGCCAGTGCCTGGTTAGAAGCAGGATTTCCGAAGTGTTTGATGATTGAATAAATAAATGCCCAGCCTCAAACGACATCCAGGATTTGCCCCAAGTGGAATCATCCTCGCCCTCCCCTGCACACACGTATATAGACAATTTCACTACATATCCAGATCCTGAGGGTTTGGTTCCAGACGCCCCTCCCACCCTGCAACAAAGCTAATATCCCAAGAAACCAAGTCTCAGACGTTTTTCGGTTTTCCAGCGCATAGAGAAGTTCCGTTCACAGTATACTGTAGTCTGTTAAGTATGCAACAGCATAATGTCTAAGAAAGCATGTAGAGGCCTTAATTAAAAAAACACTTCATTGCAAAAAACTGCTCTCATCCTCTGAGCCTTCAGCGAGTCCTTGTAGTAACATCACTGTTCGCAGATCCCCGAGACACATGGAATAGTAACGAAAAGGTCTGAAATATGGCAAAAATTATCAGAATGTGACACAGAGACACGAAGTGAGGCAATGCCATTGGGCAAATGGTGCCAATAGGCTTGCTCAGTGCAGGGTTGCCACAAACCTGCAATTTGTAAAAAAAAAAAAAAAAAAAAAAAATTAATTAAAAAAAAACCAGTATCTGCATAGTGCAATCAAAAGTTCTGCCTGTTATTTATCAACCTCTACTGACACCCCCAAATCAGCTGACCAGTTAGTCATTCATCCTGATTTCTCTGTAGACTGCAGGTACCTTGAGGGTAGACACTATCTGATTCCTGAGTTTGGAAACTCACAAAGAAATCAATCCATCACCACTTGCAAATTTATTTAGAGACCCACCCAGAGTTCTGCTCCTCGGTTCAAGACAGCCTTGAGGCACTGCCGTCACATGCTCAAGGGCCTCAGATTTCATTTGTTTATTTATGGTGTCACAGTGAGAGCTTGGTCTCCAGCCCAAGAAGGAGGAGGGGACTCTGGGCTGACTCTGAGGCTGAGGCCACTGGCCAGCCTACTTGTTGGAAGAAGGGAAACATTTAAAGAGCCATTGTCTGATTTTTTACATGGTTTTTGGTTTGGTTTCGTTTGGATCATTCAAACTGTAGCAAACAAGCCCAGGATGTAACACGTCGAAACTTGTCCCTAGGAAAAAGTGG